TTAGTATAATTTGAATATATTATCATTAATTTATTCATTTTAGTTAAAAAGATAGAATATTTTTTTAACTAAAATGAATAAATTAATGATAATATTTACTAATTTTTAAATTTTCTTTTTTAATTGTTAAAAGCTTAGTCTTTTTTAGTATCAATTCGTTAATCTATAGAGATACTATGAAATGATATGATCACTAATTGAGATATTTTTCTATTGTCTATCTTTAAGTTGGTAATAAATCTTCTAATGGAAGTAAAATGAGCATATTTTGTATATCAAGAACTTATTATTTTGCTCTTTTAAAAACAATGCAACCTATGATTGTTGTAAATACGACAGTCATTGTGATATATAAACCAAAAGCCAATAAAAAGTTGTTTTTAGCTTGGTCAAAATATGCTAAACCTGTATCATAAATCAGAACCTGCATATGATCAAAGCATTTGGATAGATAATTTAAGCTTAAATCAGAAATCTCTAAGAATCTATCTTGATACATTAGTTAATTCAAATAGTCTTATTGCTAGGAGAGAGTTGAATCGTGTTTTAAATTCATCTGCTATATATAGCCAATAATGTAGTACATTGCGTATCCTATGCCATTCTATAGCAACTTATCTAATGCCTACTCGCAATTTTGAATACTTTCTTCAGATTAACCAGCTAATCCTGTTTAGCATAATCTCTTATCTTCTAATTTTGAAAGTTCACTTGCCGCTTCCTTCAGGTATGTTGGCAAAGATTTCCTCAAATCAGCTATTTCTTTTTCATTCCTAAAGCATTCGTCTATGAAGTGCTGGACAGCTGAGTAGTTATGATATACTTCTGAGTCCTAATAAATTCATATCTACATTGTCTAGTTTCTGATCATTTTTTCGCGCATAAATAATGCCAAATTATAGACACATTCTTCTCTGAAATAGAACTTTGCCATTTATCTTGCACTATCCTTATCATCGCTAAAGACTTGCTAGCTTTGATAGAAAGACACAAATAAAGAGGAGTTAAGGTAGAGTACCAGAAAAGAAATTAGACAAAATATCTTAATGCGCTTCTATACCGTCATCCTAGATATCTGAGATTTTAACATCTAGAATTTTGTTAAATCTTCTTCGCTTACCATCTACTGATTTACAACATTTTTATCTTTAATCTTTTCAGTATCTTTGTGTTTATGTTTATGTGATGTTTCTCCATTAGAATAGTTATTATCTTTATTTTCTTCGTTTTCATCTGAAATTTCACTTTTTAAATCTTCACCATCCTTTTTGCCTTTTTGATTGTGGATTAATTCATGACTCCTCTATAAAAAGCTATCTCTTTTACTTTAGAAATTTGTTTATTTATTCAAGCCAGTTTTTAAATTCGCCATTTTGCTCCATAGATTCTTAGTTTCCTTATCTTTATCAGTCCTGTCAAACTGCACTTTCTATTAGCTTTTTGGCTGTAGAGAATTTGATTCATTATCAGCTTATTTTTTCTTTTTTTAGAGGGAAAGTTTCCTATTAATCTAATCTCTTTGAAATCTATCTCTTCCAGAAATAGGCTTATCTTTTCTGTATGATGAAGCGCTATCAATAAATGAGCCCTTGACACTTTCCTTTTTCTGATTTAACAATTAATTCTAGTAGGATATGTGGACACTAGATCTTTAACCGTTTGGATCAATGTCTTCTACTAGTAATTCCTTTAATTCTTTATGTGTCTCCTCATTATTTTTGCTTTTTTTGTCCATATAGTTTTCTTTATAGAGTCTTTTTTGGAAAGCGTATGCTTTAGCCAATAACTAATCAATCTTTTCAATTTCAAGGTAGTTAAAAAATTTTATTATGACATATTGCCTTTTAATAACTCTTGAGAGTAGGGGGAATATAATGATTCCGATAAGAGTGATGATTGCTGCAGACACGTAAGTTGAAATGTTTAGCATAAAAATTCCCTCATCTGTCTATTTTTCACTAACTTCTAAAAGCATAAAATTTTGCTATTAACCTAAATATGCCATCTTGTAAAGTCCATTCTCAAAAAGAAAATAAAGGCTTTGCATATTTTCTGTTAGTGGGTACTTCAATCCTTATTAATTAGGAGTCAGAGTGTCTTTCTTCTTTTTTGCATAACTACTTACATTCAATGGTCCTTTATCATAAAAAATACTAGAAATGTTGAGGCTATCTCCATAGGACACAAATAAATTAATAGCATGCTTAAAGGAGACACTTTGGTTATAGAGTACACCTAGATCAGTAATAAATAGTAGTTCTTTAAATTCCAAATCAAAAGTGTAAAAATCTTGGTTGCTCATTATGAACTAGTTGAACTTCTCAGCTCTAGTCTAAACTTCATGTAAGTTTTCTTTTAAGTTGCTAGTATAGAAAGATCGTCTTGAATGGTTATACTACTCTAAAATACTAGATGTATCTTTTTAGCTTATATTAGTGATAGAAAGAGCATGCAAAATTTTTAAGTCTAGAAGTGATGCTCTCAACCTATTATTTCTTCTATTGATATCTTAGAAGGATTAGAATCTTTTGCTGATAAAAGAATGCTTATTAAGAAAAATTCCTAGGTTGTAAATGCTTATGCAGACGTAAGCTATTATCATCACCAAAACTAGAATGAGATTTATCTTAATAACTTTGGGTGATCTATCTGAAAATAAGAGATTCTTAGCAAACTAAGCTGAGGTACCTTAGCTTGAGTTTGACCCTGAAGATGTAGTACTTTGTGATTATATAAAGCTTTCTGCTTCCTAGAATTTATCTGACATAGAATCTTGCATTGCTTAATAGGGATCTTCAAGCCCAGAAAGAATTATTGATTGCTTCATGTGGCTGTAAAACTTCATATTTGTAGAGTATATTTAGGTTGCAGTATGATTTGAAGAAAGCAAGTAATTATCATAGTCAGGATGCCTGCTTAATGGGAACATCATAAATACGTTGAGTCTATCGAAACCAGTGGCTGTTGGAATTTTCTAAGGAACGTATTAAAGGATACACTAAATGCTTGGATAATCGTCAAATTAATTATTAGTCTTGTTATACTTTCTGCAAATAACAACCTTGTTTAGTAAAGATACATAACTCTAGTCAGGTAAAATATTTTCTCCAAATTGTTTTGTAAAATTTTTCTTGAGGTCAACTACAATAGTATCCAAATTCAGAAATGAGTCTTAGTTTTCTATGAATTATTAATACTTCTAGTGATCAAAACCAAGTATACTGCACACAGTTTTTGAATAGTCTCTAATGTTTAGATTCTCATCGGTAATAAATATCATAACATCCTAAACTGGAACCTTGGATTATTCTTCTTGATAAAGATTTAAGAATTTACTTTTCTAAACCTAGGTAAAGAAACAGTATTAGTATTTAGTGTGATAGTGAAAGTTAATTTTGACCTTTAGTGGTATTAAAAATCCCTCTAAGGTCTTAGCCAAAACCATTCTCATTCTTCCTAATACGTGAGACTGATTATTTCTAAAAAATCTATCAACTATTCCTGTATGTTCATCAATAACTATATGTGGTAACATGAAGTTTATGCTCATTCCTGGAAGTTGCGATTCTTTTACTTTTAATGTATCGCAGAAAGGTTTGTTACCGTATAAAAATTTGAGAGGCTATCTTTCTCCTGCCCAAGCCTAAGTTATACATAGTCCTACTTCATCTAGAAGTTACTGCTACTATTAGATTATGTTATCGTCATGTTGCTGATTAATGCCTTGTATTTTTCTACTCTTATAAACTAGAGAATTTTTAAGGTAAATAGCCATATTGCTAAAAGTAAAAGGATCATGCAATAGGTCTAAATTGAAAAAAGCATAAGTCTGATACTTGCCAAGATCTTTTCAAATTGCATAGGAATCCTCCAACTATTTGGTAATAATTCTAATTTTTTTAATAGTTTTTGTGATATTTGTTCCTAGGTCAAATATTGATTAAACTGTCGTAGGATCATTATTCTAAGATTTAAACTTATTCCAAAAATCTATGATATCTAGTGTTGCATCTTCGTGTAGCATGTCTAATTCTAGAGTTTACTAATTTCCATCTATAAATACTGACAGATCAAGCTCGCTATGCTGTTTCTTTTTGAAACTTGTCATTGCTTCAGTCAAAATTAATCTTTCTATTACTTTGAAATTTAACTTATCAAAGAATTTCATTTCAGTTTTATGCTCATTGATCTTTAACAATTAGTATATAGCTTAGAAATGCTTGTTGAGATCTTAGTTGATGAAACTGATATACTACAACTCAAATTCTAAATCTCTTTGGGAATTATAGCTGCTCCGATCATTGAATTAAGATTTAAATATTTGCACCATTAGATGTTAAAAGATGTGTTTCCTGGCTGCTAATTGACTGTCAAACTTTGTTGTTAAATCTGAATTTGCTTCATTCAAACTTGGATCATTAGCCGACCCAGCATTAAACCCAAATATTCTGTTATTCAATCTTTCTAAGTCTGTTAATTCTTTGAAAAAATCATCAATAATAACACCTGTCATTAGTTAGTTTTGATCAAACATTTTTTCAAAGTTTTCTTTCTTTTAATTAACTTCTTCTACTTACTATGCTTTTTTACCCAGGAAATTTACTAACTAGTTTTATTTTTATTAATAACTGCTATGTTCATCATTTTAAACTTTTTCCACTCTAGATTATGCTGATTCTTATCCTTAAGGTATTTCCATTAAATCATCATTTAATTCGTTTCTTGGTTTTGAAAATGTGGCTAGTTCAAATACCAAATCTGCATTTATAAGGGCTTTAAGATCTGGATTCTCATATTCAATCTTGATATCTGAACTGGATGAGTTTCTTAGTGAATGCATCAATCCTGAGTAATCTCTCGATGCGCTTACTGTATTAAATTCATTATCTACAATACTTTTCTCCAGTTAGTTTACAGATTCCTCTCTTAGTTCTTTAAAACCTTACACTACATGTAACTCATATTAGCTGCAAATGCAGGAATCAACGAAGCAATTAACTCTGTGTTAGTATAGAATCTCATTCATCTGCTTTAAGTCTTTACAATTTTATCTTTCTAGCATTTGATTTAGCAAGCATATCAAGTATTTTATCTGTGATGTGCTTAACTTGTCTGAATATTAAAGATTTTCCTTTAGATTATTATAGACTTTTTCTTCATAGAAATCTATGAGTTTAATAAATGGGTATCCGATTAGGGGCATCTGTAAGCATATTTCAAGAAAACTAAATTCAAAGATAAGTCGCATGCAGCAGAGTAGATTAACTGCTAGAATTACTCTTAAACATAGTCTATTGATGGTATCAACTTTTGGATCATAGTAATGAGGTCTTTTGATATTAAGAAATCCAATAGCAGTAAACAAGAAAATGTAATATAGGACGATAAGAATTGTCTATTTCTTGAGTTCCTAAACAAATATTGCTTGTAGAGCTATCAGTACTTTAATTGCTTCCTTAAGAATAAGATTTCTGGCATTTATGCTATTGTATAGGAAAACGCTTGTTTTAATTGGCATTTAAATAGCATAAAAACTTAAGAAATAGAGAAAGCCACTAATAACAAAGTTCATGAAAGTCAAGATAATCATGGCATATTCAGTCCAATCTTAGGTACTTTGTTCATTGAATAAAATTTGAATTCCCGTCACAAAGAATATAGTTGAGAAGTAAGTTAAAATAGTTCTCTGCAACCCTATGAAAATTGATAATATTTATTTCTAGTAAGAATGCTTCTTAGCCTCCTCTATTGTACTGAATTTTTTCATTAATTTCAGAGATATCAATAATGGTAGTGTCATTAGAGATAAATATAAGAGGTACATAGTAAAGGTAACCTGTGTATTTTTGTATAGTTGATAAATCTGATTGAATTAATCACTTAAAATGTCATTTCCATATTTAAGAGGTTTAGATTATACAATCAGTAAAATACCAAGTAAAAAGTGTTCAATTAAAGTTAAAGCATAAAAGGTGCATCTTCCAAAGACATTGTTATAATAAATACTTAAGCTTAAGAGTGATAGCTTATCTACAATCTTGTCACTAAATCTGAGATTTTACTAGAGGGGATAGTCTATTTTCTTTTTTTCTTGCATTTAATGCTGATTAATCTAATAAAGTCTAATTTCAATTTTAAGTTTACAAAAAATTATCCTTGCTCTACTATTATTTATTTTTTAAATAATATTTTTTGCTTAAAATCATACTTTTTTGGATAATTTGTCTTAATGGGGTTTTGGGGTTTTGGGGTTTTGGGG